GGAGAGATGATGTCAGACATCTGCATACTGACGTGTGATGCCTTCGGATTGAGAACGTCAGTTGCAGTTAAGGGTGGAAAAAGGTTGGTTGCATGTACATCCGGAGTTCAGGGCAGACATAGCCCAAGCAGGCTGGGGGAAGTGGAAGGAGAGGAGAGGAGAAGGGGGGGTGGGGAGGGGGGAGCAGGTAGGTGGAATCTTATTCAGAGTTAAGTAGCCAGCAAACTTTGCCCCAGAGAAGGGGAGCTGTTGATGTGGCTGTTGATGCAGTGTTATCTATGGTGCTGTGCTTGTATTTTGTGTCGCAAAGTCTTTCTGCAGCTTTTTCCTGGTGCTGATTTTTGATGCCATCGTTCTGCTCAGGGCCTGTGGGGAGAGTCTGTTATGAAAATCTGTGTAGTGGTTGTATTTAGAGGGTGTGGCATTTTCCTTCTTCTTTCCGACATTGAGTGGGTGTGGAGTTACCCCCCGGTGTTCCAGGTCCATTTTGTCTACCCCCGGTGTTCCAGGTCCACCGTGTCGATTGGTTTTCTCGCTAGCAAGTAAAACGGGAACGCTGTCAAAACGACTCCTCCTTGGTGCGGTGGCAGATCCTTTCCCCCTCAGGTAGCCCCCGTATCTCTAGCATGGCCTCTGTGGAAGTACCCCCCCCGTGGAGTTCTAGTTTCTGCTTTACATCTCTTTCTAGGTGTCAAATTTTTGGATCCCTGCCTTCATTCGATGAGCAGCTTTGCAGTTTTCCTCTCAGGGTATATACTCGCATGAGGACGTTTTCTACTAAGCTCTGGACGTGATTGAGGTCAGATGCATCCAAGCTGGGCCGTAATTGCAGTGGATCTGTTTTTCAATGGTAGCATGGTGTACCATTTTGCATAATAATGGGTCAGCAAGTAAATTCATAGAGCAAGCTTAAACCATTAGGTGTAGGTGTAATGCAATTGTAGATAGCTGTTTCGATTTGACCCAAAACTGGGTGATCCAACGATGTGCAGATTGAAGAGTGTCCTAACGGGCAGTCAGATACATTTAGGGAATGCTACTGGCTTCGCCCGAATAGAACACCCGGTCATTATCGGTGCATCTGGACTGGTAGTTGCCCCAAGGACAGGGATAATGACCAAGTATTCTATTCGGGCGAAGACAGTAGTGTTACATGCTGCGCCTGTAACAGGCTGCACGGGCCACTTTCAGGCCCGTGACGTTTTCAGGCCAAAAGCCTGAAAACAAGGGCCTACAGGCCCCGTGTCGTTTCAGCCTGAAAGCCTGAAAACAAGGGCCTACAGGCCCTGTGTTGTTTCAGGCTAAAACAGGGCCTTTTCGGCCGTGAGTCGTTTCAGCCTGAAACTGAGGGCCATTTTCAGGCCCTCATCAGTTCGACCCGCCCTGAAACTCAGGCAACAAACCAGGGTTTTAGCACAGGCCATTTCGGGCCTTTTTTTCAGACAACCCCTGGTTGAGCTTTAACGCCAGGGTCTGGCACGTTTCGGCATTGGCAAGAGCAGCCTCCTGGACGGGCCAGCACTATATAGGACTGGCCCGCCCTGCAGGCCGGCAGGTAGTTCCTAGGTACTTCCCAGGCACTTCACGTGCAGTTCAGGAGGCAGGAGGTAGTCTTCAGGATTCGGCAGCAGCACTCTGGAGGACTGCTGCAGGAGTAGTGGTAGCGCTAGCAGTAGTCTTCAGCGCTGGGCGCTAGTAGCGTTAGCAGTAGTCTTCAGCGCTGGGCGCTAGTAGCGTTAGCAGTAGTCTTCAGCGCTGGGCGCCATAGGAGCTAGAGCAGTACCAGAGAGAGAGAGATTGGGCGGAGGCCAGGGAGACCTACCTGCAACGCCATAGCTCCAGCTTCGTCTTCGGGGTACCTGCAGCACAGTGCCAGCTTCACAGGTTAGTACCTGGGACGTGTGTGTGTGTGTGTGTGTGTGTGTGTGTG